AAGAGCACTGTGGGCATGAGAAGGAGCGTGCCACCTAGAAGGGGACCTGGCACCACCCTCTGCGGACCCCGCCAAAACCTGAGGGTGTTTGACAAAACCTGTGTCACATGACACAGGTCTGAAGGCACCCAGCCCTGTCCCGAGATCCGTGGCATGGACGACCCTGAGGACCACGGAGTATGGGGGCCACTCACCACATGGCTGGGTCGTACTCAGCCCAGACCCGGATGAACTCGTCCAGGTGGTGAGGCCCTAGGATGGAAGAGTCCCATGTAAGGTACTCAAAATTGTCCATGATCACGGCCACAAAGAGGTTCAACATCTGCAGGACAGGAAGGAGAAGGGGTGACGGAGAGAGACCTCAGCCCACCCTCTACCCTAGCCCTTACCCTCCAGCCAAAGTCTGTGCGAAACCATCATGGCAGCGGAGGCCACTCTGACTCAGCTCAGAGCCCGTCCAGCCCTGCTCCCCCCGGCCTCTGGGCCTCCCCTGCACCACCACCCCCACCAGCCCCCGCAGCAGCCAGCCTCCTACCCCGGGGTTCTGGGTCCCGCAAACTAACCCAGGCCCCTCCCACTCCCTGCTTCTGCTGCCCTACCCTAATTCATGTTGGCACCCCTCCCGCCGACCTCCCATCACCACCCTCTTCCCCACCTAGCCAGCCTTCAAGGAAAACAGTGACTTTGGAGTTAGTAGTTTGGACTCCAGAGGCCAAAAGCTCAGCTTCTTTTTTGTTTAATTGAGTTGAAATTCACATAACATACATTTATTCATTTTGAAGAGTACAACTCGGTGGCTTTAGTGTATTCACAATATTATGCAACCACCTCTCTAGTTTCAAAAATTCTTTTTTTTTTAAAGATTTTATTTATTTATTTGACAGAGAGAGACACAGCGAGAGAGGGAACACAAGCAGGGGGAGTGGGAGAGGGAGAAGCAGGCTTCCCGCGGAGCAGGGAGCCCGATGCGGGACTCGATCCCAGGACCCTGGGATCGTGACCTGAGCCGAAGGCAGACGCTTGACGACTGAGCCACTCAGGTGCCCCTCAAAAATTCTTTATCACCCCAGAAAATGCCTCCTACTGTAAGCAGTCACTCACTTATTTCCCCTTTCTCCCGCTCCCTAGCAATCTCTGTTCTGCATCTATCGGCTTGTCTATTTGGGGTACTTCACATAAAAGGAATCCTACAATACAGGACCATATAGGGCCTTTTGTGCCTGACTTCTTTCACTTAGCGTGATTTTTTGAGGCTCAGCCATTCATTTGGGTCAGAACTTCATTGCTTTTTAAGGCTGAATAATATTCCATGGTAGGTATATACAAGTTTGTTTATCTATTCATCCATTGATGGATATTTGGGTTGTTTCCACCTTTGGGCTGAACTGTTTTCCACAGAAGTTGCTACATTTTACATTCCTATCACAATGTGCAAGAGTTACTATTTCTCCATGTCCTTGCCAATGCTGGTTATTTTCCATTAAAAAAATTATTATCTTTCAGGATCCCTGAGCCGTAAGGCGGCCGCAGTCTCGTGATCCGGCGCGCGGCTTTTCTTCTCTTCCTCGGTCCTGCACGTCCGGCGCCGCACGCTCAGTCCGAGCGGGTGGGCGCAGCGCTTGAGTGGCTTGGCCCGGATTGGGCCACGTGCTTGGGAAGAGGACTGTGGACTGGAAAGTGGCACACAGCATGGTGGAAACCCGAGAGCCCCGCGGGGCCGTCGAGACTGAGCTGTACCCGGTGGAGTATACCCTTTGGAAGCGGCTCCCCCACCGCCTGCCCAGGAGGCCCAATGACATTTATGTCAACATGAAGACTGACTTTAAGGCCCAGTTGGCCCGCTGCCAAAAGCTTCTGGACGGAGGGGCTCGGGGTCAGAATTCATGCAGTGAGATCTACATTCATGGCTTGGGCCTGGCCATCAACCGTGCCATCAACATTGCCCTACAGCTTCAGGCAGGCAGCTTCGGGTCCTTGCAGGTGGCTGCCAATACCTCCACCGTGGAGCTTGTCGATGAGCTGGAACCAGAGACTGATACACGAGAGCCGCTGACCCGCATCCGCAACAACTCGGCCATCCACATCCGGGTCTTCAGGGTTGCACCCAAGTAATGGAAATGAGGACGGCCACCTTATCCACCCACCCCCACATAAGTAGGCTCCGATATGGCTCTTCTTGTACTGAGTACAGTCACGGACCTTCTACCAGAGCCACGTAGGAAAAAGCCTGTCCCCTTACAGCCCAGAGGACTCTGAACTGCAAGGGAGAGTATTGTCTCTTGTTGGGACCAAGCAGTGGGTCTTCCCAAGTCTTTGTGGTCTGTAACCATTGTCCTAGACAATAAAAACTACCAAGTTGTGTTAGTATGCAGCCATCCCCTCCCCCCTGTCTGGAAACAAACTACCCCTCACTTAATGCAACACAGTAACCCTTTCCCACCATGACCAAAGGGTCGTCAACATACTAGACCCTTCCTGGTAGCTCCTTTAATTTCAGTGAAAGTTCACCAAGCGCCCGCTATTTGCAGCCGTGGCCTGGGGACAAAGAGGTGCATGTTGGCTCCTGTTCCCAAGAGACGGCAGAGAGGGAGAGGCCTCAGCCCATCGGCGGGAAGAATGTCATTTCTGCCATGAAGGCCTCCAAGCTTCATGAGGATGGTGAAGCCCCAAGGGAAGGCCCTCCTGCTGTGTCCACACCCTCTCCCGTGAGCCCTCCATGCCCCTCATGTGACAGACCTGTGAGGAGACAGTACACTCCCATTTGGCAAGAGACTTGAGCCTCCCAGACTCCTTGGAACCTCCTAAGCGCTGGACTAAGGGTCTCACAGAGCATTTCTCAGCCCAGGGAGCTGTGTAAGAGCACTGTGGGCATGAGAA